GCATAAGTTGGAGGTCTGTAGCTTTATTTATGTACTGCAAATAAATGTTAGCAGCTTTGTAGCTGATAACAATTGCATAACTAACATCAAGTCAAATATGTTTACCTCAAATTTTGTTCATTGAACAGATTTTTCTAATGCTAATAAAAGTCATCAACTTTCATTTTTATATTTCTATCCTGCTACAAATTTAAACACAAGTTTCTTTCAGCTTCCCAGAGGGCCTTACAATAGCAAAAAGAAATTACAAGTTATAGTTTTCTCTTTCATTTGGCAGTTTATGGTGCCTTTGCAAACAAAAAAGACATTAATTTTTTTTGTAACAGATGTTTTTGCTATTCAGACTATCTGGTGCCCATCTGCTAACTTTCCTTTTGTTTCCAGCAACTGAAGATCCAATCTGCACTGTAACTCTAGAAAAAACACCTGCTGGTTTAGGATTCAGTCTGGAAGGAGGGAAAGGCTCTATTCATGGAGATAAACCCATCATCATCAACAGGATATTTAAAGGTAAACAGACTTAAATGTGTATACACGGCAGGTTCTTAGCCGATTCAAATTTGTGCCATTCATAACTGACTGCTGATTTATACCCACGAAAATTGTATGTTTTGTAAATGCAGCATTATCCTGTGCAGTGCCAGTAGTTTGTTGCCTGCTGGGATCGGGTGGTTTATACCAAACGTGTGGGTGATCTTTAGTAAGAGAAAAAGAATTACACAAACAATTGAAATAAAATAATTTTCTTTCTCCAGGGACTGCACTAGAACAAAGCAGCGCTGTTCAGCCTGGGGATGAGCTATTACAAGTGCACACCACTGCCATGCAAGGACTCACTCGTTTTGAAGCATGGAATATAATCAAGGCATTACCTGATGGGCCCATCACAGCTATCATCAAGAGGAAGAATCCAAGCTCTGTTACCACCAAGTCATCTGAAACTTTGTAAGAGAAGGAATTAGACTACTACCAATATTACAAACAAAAAAGGATTTTATTACTTGCAGCCATTTAGCTAGCACAGCAAGATACTAAAGTGTGTATGAAAAGCACACATGATCTTACCGCCAGTAACAGAGCAAGCTGCCAGGGATAAAGGAAGATGTGCACAAAATGTGCATGATTATTATTTCAACATTCAGAAACAGATGTTAGAAAGTGTACAATTATAAAATAATGATTTTATTGATAATATACTTGTTGTAATAAAATATGAGACAGTTATAGTACTCTCCTATTTTAAGCCATCAACTTCACAAATAGCAAGAAGCACATTCTGTGTTTTCAGTCCTACTCTACAAGTCTTGCTCCCTGCCTTACCTTCACAGGGGAAAGAAATGTGTCTACAAGCCTACACTGCAGCAAAGGAAAAGCCTTAGATGATGCACAAAGGGCAGAGAAAGGGGGATGGAACTTTGTGCGTCAAAACGACAACCTGCTACAGAAAACTCCAGCTTTTCTATTCAAACCACAGAACAGTCAAAACCTGTCCAGGGTAACTTTCTACTAGCAGTTGACAGACACATCTCAACTCTAGAAGGCAAATGTGGGGGCATGTGTAAAAGAGTGTCTCACGGTATTGCAAGTGTGACGCAGGAAACTGAGGATAACACAGCGTAGGTTTTTCTAACCTTCCTCTGGCCAGAGTTCTCGGAGGACCACAGCAGGAGAGTAACAAGGCCATTTACAACCAACTCTTACCTTCTAACCACACGTTTTTTGAAATATCTTTGTGTTAATTTTGTAAGGGAAAGTACCAGTGAGAGTATTTGGAAATTAAAAGTTCTGAATCCAAATGTTTATTCTGGAAACACTACGTAACGTGGAGATAAATCTATGCTTCAAATGCTGCTATTGGCATTTTGGCAGTGCTCTCTAAGCACTGCATGGAATTCTGCCAGCAGCAGCATGTGTATCTATAGCAAGATGGTCTTGTGCACCCCTTTGTCTTCTCTGACCTACTTCACTACAGGGAGAGGTGCCACACTGAGATGGAACTAGTGACTCCCCAGATGGTTGCACTGGTTATTGCCCTTGGCTGTTCACTGTCCCATAGTTGGGTATCTGCTGCACCCTTCTTTGGTTGCTCAGTTTCACCAAATCATAAACTGCAGGAGTTCGGAGGCTATTTTCCACGCACTTGACACAATGTCACAGAAACAGCAACTGAGAAAAAGGGAAGTAGGACAGAGGACAGACAGCAGAAGGTATTAAATGGATCCAGGCACATGACTTGCTTTGGCCTTTCCTCACAAGTCAACTCTATGTTAAACCTGGAAAGAACCTAGTTAATGAACCATCTGATCCCCCACACTTCCGAACCCCTTCCCAACTGAGTTGCTTTTTCCAAAAAATAATCAACCCTCAAACCAAAATCTCTATGAATTTGGTAGCAATCAAAATAGGGTAAAAATGTGAGAGGGAATCTTTTTGTACTTTTTTTTTAACTGATACCTACTTGAAACTCTCTGATTTATTTATTTATTTATTTAAGAATTTATTGTATTTAACTTAACCTGCACTGTTGGCTTAGGCTTAACAAAGTCTAAGTAAAGGCCTGGTGCATATAAGAGATTCTAAGATTTTTTTAACCACTTGCTCATACCACTAATATAGAAAAAACATGAATGATTTCTGTACAGAAAAGCAGGCCTGAACTCTTCAGCACAGTTAAAGCTATTTCCTTTGAAAGACAGATCATGCTTTTTAGTCAGCTTCATAACTTTAACAGACACTGGACTAGCTACAGCCATGGCACAGAATGCCTTTGTTACTTCAATGCCATCTGCTCAAGGTGCCATCGCCTGAAACTGCTAATTAATTTCATCAATTTAAGAACTAATATCAAACCACCAAGGCAGGTTTGATCTCGTTTTTATCCAGAGGTGCTCTTCTCACTTCACTTTCAAAGTTTTTCAGTTTTTGTATTCCCCTGCATTTCCTGGCATCTGCCATGATCAAAAGAAGTCAAACATGATGTGTGGCAGGCAGCGTGTCTCACTGTGCAGTCCTCCAAGATCTTACAAGATGATCTTTGCCAAGACATCTCCATCTCCATCTCCAATCTGGCAGGGCAGGAGGCTGAATGTTAAGGGCTCTTCTTTCTGGATAGAACATGTTGAGCACTCAGAAAAGGAATCCTTGTTATTCCAAGGAAGAGCCTCACCTATCACCTCTATTGCTCAAAGCAATAAAAAAAAAAAAAACAAAACCCCAACATGTATATATATAATAACAAATAGATAATAAAAAGCCCCATTGTCTGCAAAAGGTTTACTTGCAGATGCCCCGAGCTCTGCTCCTTGAACTTTTTGCTAATTAAATTAGTCATAATCTTGCAAAAACTTGCTGAGATACTGAACTTCATGCCTAAAAACTTCAGTACATTTAGATAAATACATATGAGCCTCTGTATTATCAGGGCCCAAATCTCTCTTCAATGAATTGGTTACTCGCCTTAAGTACAGAAAGCAGCAATTTAAATTGGAAATAAGGACCAACCAAGGACAAAGAAGTTGGGAGGGTGAGTGCTCTCACCAAAACACCTTTATCCCCAGTTAGCGGGGAGTGCAAGCAGGAGTGAAGGCTTTTCCCTTCCTTGTTGCCTCAAATTCAGAGATGCTGGAGGTCCAAGTGGCTCTTATGTTTCCTTGATGGCAAAACAGGTACATGACGAACCATTTTAATGATTCAGGAAAAATAGAAAGATGTAGCAGAAAAATATTTATTTCATCACACTCATAAAAGTTTTTACATCTTTGTACACAAAGGAGACTAGATTTAAAACTGTTGCCTTGAAAAATCTATTCCATAGGGTGAGATTTACAGTGGGAAACTTTGTGTGCAAGTCCATGCCCTATATGAAATACAAAACAAATACAGGCACAGAAAGCAGAGTATATTAATCTTGTTAAATAATCAAGTTACAGCATTAAAATCATAGCCTACATTCAAATTCCTAATTCAGCAATTAGTTTTCCTTTTCTAATTACATGTAATCCATAGTAATGTCTGACGTTTCTAGAGTAACCAGCACCATAATTATTTTCTAAAGCTGGACACATCACTGCACACAAGATCAGGAGCTGATTTCCCCACGTAGTCTTGTGAGGCAAACCAGTCTTAGAGAAAAAGCAATGTCCTTATAGCCTGTCAAGTCAAGACTAAGCTACAGAAAAGATTATTTACCCGTTAAAACCTCTCACCACAAGAAACCAAAAAATGTTGAAGTGCAGTTAAAAATGGTCATTTCAAGTGTGTTTTAAAAATATGGCAAGTAAAGTGCTTAATCCTCTTTATTTATTGCCACAATGTCAGTGCAGTTTGTTTCACGACATTGTGGAAATCAGGGTGTTTGGTACAGAGAGGAGAAAGAAAGTGTGTCTATTTGCCAGCCCACAGACCTATCAATTGATTTACATTGGTAGACTCTGATCTAGAAAAAAAGCACTTCAGGTGTATTTACCATTAGTACTGAAGTCTGCTGGAACAAACAAGTGGGATCCTCCACACAATCCAGTTTGTTCTGGCTTTTACCACCTGCTGGCTTGGACCCACTGAAATATCTTAGCAGCTCTAAGAGTGCTGGCAGCGAGAGAGTTACTTTTTCTTTTGGGGAAGGAAGGAACATTGTTCCACAGGAGTCTACAGGGAGCTTCAGAGGCAAACCAGGGCTGCCCTGCACCTGGCTAATGCTGAAGTGCTAAGTGGATTTTAGCAATGCTCCTCCTCACAGACACTGACAAAGCATGGCCAAGAACAGATCTAGTGTGCATCTTCACCCCGCAGACAGGCAGCAGTGCTGCCTCCGGGATCCTTCCAGCCTCTAGTATGATATTTTTCTAATTAAGAAAATGAAGGATATTGTATTAGAAAATAATGCATTGCTTTGAACAGAGACAGGTAGAAAACAGTGTTCTAAAAATTAACTTTATGCAATCCATTGTTTCTTTACTTTTCCTAAGAATCTCTGCTGGTAGTAAAGTCCTGTAAGGCCAACTTACTGTTCCTACCCTCAAGCTGCCAGGTTTTCTCTCTCCTACCCTCAGCTGCTGATGTCAGCTATTGGTCTTGTCACACTTTTAATGCCTTAACAGCTTTGGTCAGGTTGCTGTAAAATCCAGCTATGCTAGCTGGAAAGAAGGAATCCACCACTGTCTGGGGAAGATAGCCACCAAGATCAGTCTGAAAGAAACTGAGGAGTTGAGTCCTGTCTGGCTCCCTGCAAAGACAATACAAGCAGTTTTTATAGCCAGCAGTTTAAATGCATTAAGAACTTTAAAATGACTCTCATATGCATTATCTGATGATAGATATTTCCAAGTACTCAAAGAAACCCACACACAAAAAACCTCCCATAGTTGTTAATTCAAAAATTCAATTAATGTGGCTAACCCCACAAGTCAAATTACAGCTAAACTAGGCCTTAATTAGGTACATGATTCTGTTTACGAATTATGTCAATGTAAGAAACAATTGGATACTCATTTACCAAAAATTAAGACTGTATTTGTACGTTCTGCTGAATCTCTTAAGAGGTCAGCAAGAATCCTACCATGATGACAGCTCCTGTAGTATTAAAGATTTCCATCTAGGAAATGAAGGGAGACTAACTCATTGAAAAAAAAAAAAAAAAAAAAAAAAAGAAAAAAAAAGAGACCAGAAAGGGCACTCAGTCATATTGATTAGCAGTGAAAAGAAGACAGAAATATGTTATTACCAAGAAGCTACACATCATGTGTGGCTCTACACACATAAACACACCACACAATGGATAAGAAGGGCTTTAAAACACGTAACATTCAAATAGGTCACCACTTACCCTGGAAGGGGTATACAGAAACAGCCACAGGGATAATTAAAACCTCTCACAAAATTTGGTTGAGGAGGACACAGTGGGTGTTCCACATTGGTGGCTGTAAGAAAAAGCATTCAAGAAAAGCGTTATTTTCACAGAAGATGGGAAAGGGTCCTTGGTACTCAAAGCACCAGCTAAGAAGCAAACTCATTGTGAGAATGTATTTAAGAAGAATGGCAGTATAACCTTTTCAATGTGGGGCTGGGCCATACAAGCGGTCAGAAGAGAGCATTAAAAGGAACCACTCTGGCTATGGAATGGAGAAATCAAAGCAGTGTTAAATTTAGAAGCAATTATTACTGAGATCTGAACTAAGCATCAAGACTCTTTGAGGGAGTTTCACAGAACTCATGTCGTGCAAGGGCACTGCTTTTCTTGAGAGGTCACTCAAGTTCCTTCCAATGAACCCATGGCATGGAGGTATATGCCACTTGACTGCTGAGAAGCTGCAGTC